AAGATAATAAAGACTGGAAAATGAACTAGAAGCTCCACTGAACTTCTTAGAATGAAATCTGATTTATTGATATACAGCTAAAAGGAAAATGAGACCTTCACTAAAGTTTATAAGCCAAAAACTTTGTAAGTCTAGAACCAGAAGAGTATGTAGTTCAAAACAAGAACTATGGGTGAAAATTGAGCAACTAGAAATAAATATTATAAAAAAAAAAAAAAAAAAATTAAAACTAAGGAGTTAATGGATAGTACTCAAGACCATAGCCATCAGAGTAACATGGCTACAACAAACCAACAATATTTCTTAATACCAAAACAAAGCACAAATGGTGAGAAAACACTGTTCTCAACAATTTGAGTCACTTATATTGACACTTTTGCTCCTCACACTCCAAACAACAATTAAAAAATAAAAGAATATATTTTGTTAACTTGATACTGAACACATAAATATAAGTTTAAGTGAATTTTAATTTCTAATCTAAGTTATTAAGTACTCAAAACATTATCAAGGTAACTCCAGAATGACATGTTTGGTATCAATACCATGGCTGAATGAATGAACAAGCTGTATACATTGAAAGTTCTATTAGTGATTTGGAGTTCTGAAGAGATTTTATAACATTATTTTAAACAGGTCCAAATTCATTGAATGTTGAAGCTACACAAGAATTCAATATTCCCAAGATTTTAGTTTCTTAGTTCTTAGTAGAATTATGAGTGTATTTAGTGTTAAGTGAAAGATTTAAGTACTTTATAAAGTCATTAGAGTTAAGTAATCTATTTTGAGTTAAGTAAGTCATCAATTTTGTTACCTAAGGAAATCCAGTGGTTAGAAAGTTTTTCAAACTAATATATAAGTCCTTAATGTTGTAACTTTAGAGTGATAACTTGATATAAATAATTTCATATCTACAGAAATTTGATCAATTTTTACTTTAATTTTGTATTCCATGATAGATTTCATTGAGTAGTGACTTTTCTAAGTCTGTATCGTTGTTCAATCTATTAGTGGTGATACTCTAAATCCCTTTGGTGTCACTCCGAGGTGGTGATATAATGTATCCCTATGGTTTTTTTTTTTTTTTTAGCATGGTAAACTTTAGTATTCCTTTGAGAGGGTGTGTGTTTATAGTGTTAAAAAGCTTGACTAAGTATTATTGAGGACCAATTAGGCAGCTAATACTGGTGTAAATCTTAGAAATTAGTTGAAGTTTCAATAATGTTTGCATATACAAAACTAGGATCAACCGATATAGTTGCTTATGTGTCTATACCACATTAACTATAAGAGTTAGTCACTTATCTCAATATATGGTATGACATGTAAACAGTCACATAAATAGGGATATAAAGTTGAGATCCTAATTTTGTATTATACCATTATGTTAAGTTTTACCTCAAGTGGTAGCTTGCACAACACTCAAGCAAAAAGTATGAAAGAAGTGGAAACATTGGAATTTTGTAGATAAAACAATGGTTATTACCAAACAGTGAGAAAAAGATGTGGAAAAAGAAATGCTTGAGCATACTAACATATCAACAATTGAGTGAATACATAAGTTTATTTACGTATTATTCACTGAAGAAAGCAAAACTTGAATACTTCCTAACTTGTAAGTTTGTCAAGGAATTAATTTTTTTTTTTTTATATTATATTTATTTAGAATAACAGAAGAATATTGATGGGGGGAGTTAGGTACTAAAATATTTGCTGAATGGAAGAATAAAAATTTTCTTCATTTTTTACCCTATATTAAAATATAAATTTAATCAAAATTAGAATTAAATAACACAACTTTATGAACATGTTTCTTTTAAACTACATATTAACTATCACCACTTGAGGTATCCTCTTCCAAATTGAAAAGTTGTCTCTCTTCCATAAAGAGCCATCATAATTGAAAATTCTCTAACACTAAGCCATGAATCTGAATCTTCTCAGGTCATACTTCAGCATTGGTATTTGTATTTGTATTTGATACTAGGTCAGTTTGGATTTGAACTTGATACATCTTGCATGTGAGGGGATTGTCAAAATACTAGGGCAAGTCACAGAACTTTATATTAGAGTTGGGTTAGCTTAAGGTTTTATGTCAAAGAATGATTAATGTATAGTTCACAAATCAAAGACTCAAGAAGATTTTAATAAAATAGAACCAATCCTCTATACTAAAACCTACTATTCATTTCTGTTCATAAATGGATGATCTGATCTGTACTAGAAACAATGTGAAAATGAGGAAATAATTTGAAGAAAATATAACGAAATACAATGACACACTGACCAATATGGATATAAGCTTTCTGTGTTAGAGATTGGAAACTGCTAACATCAAAGTCAAAATTCCAAACAACCCTATCCTCTAATTAAATAGCTTCACTTGACTAAACCAGTAAACCTTCCACAGTGATGAAAAGTTGCATCACGATCCTATCACTAAGCATTATGTTTGTTGCCATGCCTATAAATATGTTCTCAGTCAAAGAGAATATTAGATATTCATTACATTGTCAATATATTTGATATCTGTTTGAGATTAAAAATATGCAAATGAGGTTGAGAATAGGTTATATGAATAAAAGAACTATAGAACTGACTTAGTATATATCTTGTCTCAATATGTATATAAATTACAAAAAAGGTTTTTCTAATTAAATTCTGAGCTGTGAATAATTTACTCAGAACCATATCTCTATTTCTAACTTCTTCCACGTTAGATTTAACAATTTATATATTATTTATAATGACATTTAGGTAAAAAAATTATAGAATTTGAAATAGAGGTGAAAATAAAGAAATGAAAAAAAAAAAAAAATTTTTCTTCTAATATAAGATTCTATTTAAAATTTTTGACAAACATCGATGGCCACAAGGAATTTATTACTAAAAATTAGAAAACAATTACCTCTAAACAGAGGACATAATGAGTCTTACCCTTTAAAAAAAATCTAAAAAACCACAACACAAGAAAACTAAAAACTAAAAAAAACAAATTAAAAATACATGATGCAACATACATCAAAAAGGAAAAAAAAAATCCAAATAAAAGCGAAAATAGCTAATTATCTACCCAGTTTCATTTTATATGATTCTATTTAATTTAAGTGCAGGAATATATATTTTATGTTATATATATCAATTTAATCCCCCAAAATATAAACTTAAATAGTCCAATATCAGTATTTTCCAAAACCCTCGATGAAATAGTGCTGATAAATTTGTTAGATTTTCACTCTTTTGGTTTATAATTATTGGAAAATACCATGGTGCTATAGATGAAAGCAATCATTCGTTAATGACAATATATACATCACATGGATTCTTGACCAATTTCAGGTTGTGGCGCGTAAGAAAATAAAAGAGATAATAAATAAAAATAAAATGCGACCATCTATTATATATATCATATAATAATAATATTAAAAAAAAAAAAAAAAAAAAAGAGATTTCAAAATTTTTCCAAGGGCTGCGGACAAGTGATATTTGTAACTTTTATATGTAAGGTAATGGACAAGTTTATCCTTCCCGCAGCAAAATGATTGAAGATATAATGAAAACTAATAATAATAAAATATCAATTTTTTAATATGATATGGATAATTTTTTAAAATCACAGCTTAATATATAGGGAGAAAGCTTGATTTTTTCCCCTGAATTCTGTCTATTTTTCCCATTTCTTCATCTCTTATGTTATATCCTACTGCTCCTACATCACATGACTTTAAAACCATAACCTGAACAGCAAGGAACCTTTAGTTGTTTCACCTCTCAAGTATAACAATCAGAAAAAAAAAAAAGATTTCCACTTTCCTTAGTATTGAATATCTGGGGTTGTATTTTACAAATCAACACCAGTGAAGCTTAAAATGCCTGACAATTTATAAACAAAAGTGTAGCAGAAGGCAAAAACTGACTGGAATTGGATCTGGTGGGTAATTTTTTGGTAGAATTGTTGAAATAATTTTCGCCAAATAAATCACAATACATAAATAATTTGAGTAAAATCCTATTACCCTTACCCCCATCTCTTTTGTGCCTTTATTTATTTAAAATATGCCAATTTGTTCCAAGTGGAAAATCTTTATGGAAATCCTCAATAACAAACACTGATTGGTTTCTCACTTTTCCTATATGTTGCTCTTCCAACAAGTAAATTTCATTAAAGAGGCATCATCCTAATTCCTAGGTTACAACGAGATGCAGAAAACTTAGATACCCCATAAGGAAAGAAAGATTTAAAACAGGCAAAAACGCCAAGCCCCTTAGCACAAAGCTCTAGGACTATTTGATAAACATGAGACTTTAACCACTAATCTCCTAATTAACAGAGTTATTAAAGACTAATTTTAGCTTAAAAAAAGCAAGTTAAACCACTGCTATTCTGCCATGATTCTTTAATAATACAAGAAAAGGTATAGCGTACAACTTATTTTTCTTGTAGAACAATCAGGAGCATCACTGTTATCATCAGAATATAAAGTGACTTTTGAATTACTGTTATTGATAGGTTTGCAAACTGTGTATCATTTCTGACTCTACAAAAGGACAAACTTTCACTGACATAAACCAGAATGAAATCAAAGAGAGATCAATAATAAATGTACACCCATGCATAGATGCATAAACAAGTTAATGTAGTAACAGTGAATTAACATCTAGAAAAGGACATATCTATATATGTATGACATCAAAAATTATATATGTATGCTGTAAAGCTTTGTTTCATGTTCATTTTTGTTTGTTTCTGTTCTGAAAGTCAAAGACATAGAGAAAGATAAAAGCTTTAATATCACGGTAGAAATATGTAAGTTGCAGATACTATAATTTCCATTCTATATGTAATGCAGGTCATGAACAGTAAATCATTCACTGAAATAATACAACAAAAGGAAAAGGAAAAGGAAGAAAAAAAAAAAAAAACAGAAATGTTTTCAAACATTATGATAAAAGCAAAAACATGCAACAAAAACAACAAATAGAGTGAGAGAATTATAAACCTGGAATCGGTTGCGAACTCAAAGAGTTTCCCTTTTGTGGAGAAGACAATCAAAGCAACATCAGCATCACACAACACAGAGATCTCACGAGCTTTCTTGAGCAAACCAGCTCTTCGCTTTGAGAACGTCACCTGTCTGCTAATTTTGTTCTCGATCCGCTTCAACTGAACCCTACCTCTCCCCATTTTAGTGGTCTCTCTCCTCCTGAATTTTCTCGGTAAAAAGAAAAAACAAAGAAGAGGAATCAAGAAAACCCTAAATCTGCTCCATCTCCAAAATGTTTGATAGAGTAAAACAACCAGAAGAGGAAGAAGAGAATGAAGCTAAAGTAAAGAAATAAGAGTAAAAAATGGTAATTATAAGTGGGTTTCTATTTTTGATGGTGTAGAAAGCAGAAGGCTTTGGTGTTTATGTATATATCAGGAAAATGAAATATATAGAAATAGATTGAGAGGAGTTATAATAATAATAGGAATAGTGAGTGGGAGCAAGTGGTGAGTGGTATTGTGAAACCAGGTGGTATTGTAAAATTGTGCTGTCGAGTTGTCATTGGATAGTTGAGCTGAACAGTGGTTAATGTCTCTTTTTGAGCCACAGATTTGCTGGTGGTTGAAAGTCCGTACATAATCCTGTCAGCATTGAGGGACCCATTAAGCCCTGTAACTTCTGCCTGGTCAGTGGTCATGGTGATTACTGACGGCGCTTTTACACCACTTCCCCTTGAGCCCTTCATTACATTTCGCCAACTGTTGCATGATTAAGACTTTAAACCTTCAACCTTAATTATGCCTTAATCTCCATTAACAAAGATCAAGAGATTTATTTTTGGTCCAGTCATGTTTTTTCTCTTTATAGAAAGACTGCAGTTGGGTGCAGTGCAGCCATGGGAAATGGAATAAACACTAAAAAGCGATCGAGAAAGGAAAAGAAAAGGTTTTTGCTACTCAAAATTCACCATTTTTATACGTCTCTTCATGTTTAGTTTTCCGGTTACAGCACATGACTACTTTTAAAAGAGATAAAGACTTTCCCAATCAATATACGACAACGTTGTACAGTTTGCAGATGCCTGATGAGCTCTGTATTGGGTAAAATTTTTATTATTTGCATTTATTTTATATAACCACCAATTTGAAATCAAATTTAATAAAATTTATGCACCACGAGGTTGCGAATTTACTGCACCTACAATTTTTCTTTTAATAGGACATCATGGTAATTTTCACTGTCAGTCCTTAAATTTGAGACATTTGGATTTTGTTGACGGTTGAGATTTATTAAAATTAGAAAGAGATTTGATATTACAAATACCGTTAGATCATATATAAAGAGAGAGAGAGTCACTTTTGACGATGAGGATCTAATATAGGAGGTGTTTGTCTAAGCTTATAAGCTGGTCAAACTTGCTTATAAGCTCTAAAATTAAGCTGACCTGTTTGTTTATAATTTTTTTGAGCTAAAAAAATAAGTTGGGGGGGGAGGTACTTTTTTTTTTTCCTTATAAGCACTTTGCTTATAAGCTAGTTTGACCAAGTATATTACCACATTATCCTTGTTTAATTTTAAAATTCTATAGTATGTCCTTGTTTAATGTAGTATCTTTTTCAGTAATTTTATAATAAAATGTACTTATAAACCACATTTTACCAAACACGTCAATTACTTATCAGTCACTTATAAGTACTTTAACCAAACATGTAATTACTTAAAATTTCAAATGCTTATAAGTTAATTTTAGCTTATAAGCAATTGTTGCTTATAAGCTAATTTTCATAAGCTCAGACAAACACCCACATAGTCTCTTAAGTTTGAATCCCTTTGATAGTAAAAGAGCAAGAAAAAATCTAACATAATCTCCTCAGTTTGAGTCTCTATAACCCCTAATAAGAGTGACCAATAGAACTCTTATCTGACCGATAGTTTTAAGGTCCCAAAAAGATTAATTGAGATACGTGTAAGCTAATCCGGATATCTCTAGTTATAAAGAGAGAGAGAGAGAGAGATTATTACTAGATTATAAAAGCATGAAAGAAAATTAATAATTAGATTTAAAGGTTGATTAGAATAGAAAACGTATATTTGCATTACACAAAGAGTTCACTGAAATGCAGGGTGTATTAGTCAAATTTGACCCATATATAAAAATAAATCTATAATACTAATTAACTAATTAATTAATCGTTTATTGTATATGAATACAACTAAGCTAAGTGAGGCTGCAGGGTTTAATTTTATTTTAATGAAAGGATCAAAATCAAATATTCTGAGCAGCTTTTATTCCTTTCGTAGTTGAATAATACACAATTCCCTTATATGTTTTTGTGGTCCATCCTAGTACGAACCAAATGTATATGATTTATTTTTGGTTAATGGGATTAGTAGCTTAATACATTATTAGGAGGCGTAGAGGCTTTCAAGGTTTTCATGAATGTGGTCCCTTAATCAAGTTTATATTTTAATTAACCATTTGTACTATTTCTTGCTTAAAATTAATCTGGATTACAGGGACCATCCTCCACAATTTGGCTCCGTTGTACTAATATTCTTATATACAATTATCTCGTGTGAAGTCTATCTCTATCTTTTTTGGCGATGCAGAGTAGTCGGGGACCATTTTATGAACTCTTATCGACCTAAAAATTTTAAAATTAAAAGTGTGAATTATACTTTTATTACGAATTTTAAATTTCTTTTCTTGATCATTGTGTATACTGATAATCAACACGGTACTCGATAGCGTTCAAACTCTTGATCCCACCATACTATGTTGGTAAAAGGGGAAAGTTTCTTTTTTAGTGTTGCTAAATGGAAAGACAACTCTTGTCCAGCAAGATTTAAAACCCTAATTAAACTAAATTAAGGTTGTAGCAGGCATGAATTAATCCAAAGAAATAATCCGTACGAGACATTTAGCTTTGTAAAATATGTTTCAAGGAGACATGTAGTGCAAATATGTAAATCCTAAATAACAAACCATATCTTAGGCTTCCCTTTTATATATAACCTATCGTATTATTTTTCCATCCCTGCCTTTTTTGGCATTCTCAAAGGGTACCATTTATCAATATTTACAATACAATACTTCGATATCTTGTAGGGATCGAGGTCCCCGTTTCAATTTCTATAACTATAAGATAACGATATTTGAAAAATATGTATATAAGATTTTCTTTAATTTGATAGAAACAGTTTGCCTTCTCATAAATTGGATGGTTTAGAAGTTATTGATCCCTTTTTTAATTTTGTTTTCGTGGAAACCATAGCCAAAACACACAACATCGAGAGTAAAAACAGAAAAAAAAAAAAAAAAAACAGTCAATTTACCCTGGTTCATTCCTAATGAAATAATTACATCCATTATTCATATAGAATAGTTTTATTGAGTTTCAAAAATCTGCATAATACAATATGAAAAGTATCAACAGTTTACTCTTTCTCTTTATGTTTAATATTTTTCACATTAAGTTTTCCACTACTACACTAAGATAATAATAAACCTAATCACATTTGAACTAAATTGTTACAAACTCCCAAATGCGTCAGCATTGACCTCATGCAAAATATGAACCACATTCAACAGTTTTAGACCAGCAATTTTGTAGGTGAGTTATATTTAATAATCAGTCTTCCTTCTTTAATGGATGTTACATGAAAGCTACACGATTCATGACTTTTCTGTAACTCCTTTAATTTAAAATGAAACATGAGTACATGTACTCTCAGTCTCAGAAACCTTTTTTTTTCTTTCTAAGAGGTCCTCTATCGTAACTCGAAGGCTCGAAGTTTTTCAAAACATATTTACAGTCATTTAAATTTATAATTCAAAAAAAATAAAGATTAGTAATTGTAGTATTATTGATTTGAATGATTTTGGGTTTGTGAATTAAAAGATGACACCTACAACTACAATTGATGCTGGAGAATCGCTGTTTGAAACATATAAATATTCTTTATGTCCTAAATATTAAACAGGATGGCCATGGATGGAAGGAGACGAGGAGTGATTGATGAAGTTTTATGATTGTGAAACGAGAGAAGGCCCTACGTTTCTCAGTCATTTTCTTATAAATAAACCTTGCGTCAGATCAGAAACCAACAAACATCACCCTCACGATTTTTTTATTGAATAATTCAACACCAAGAATTATAAACCATAAAGAAAAAGATTCTATTCATCTTCTTTAAGCCAAATTATCGGAGCTTTATCAACAAGTTACGCTACTGTTTATTGTCAGAAAAATTCCTGGTTCATTAAATTTTTTTTTCTTTTTGTTTGAAAGAAAACATACATCTTTTCGAGGGCAGGATTATGAAGAGGTTGTAGTTCTTTTATGATACAGAGAGAATTATAGCCTCATATTGATGTTGAAGATGCCTTGCCTGCACTTTATATATATATTTCAATTTATTCTTTATATATATTCTTAGTTGTCCATTTTATATTTCACTCTACCCTTATTTAATTAATTAATTATTATTATTATTATTCTTATTATTTTTTGTCGTCTGGCGGATGAATTCATGGAACGGGTTGAATGTCAGAAGTCCATACATAAAGCCTAAAAGTCCTCAATGAGCATGTCTCATTTAAACGGTCATAATTTTTTTATCCAAGAGGAGTTACGAGACTCGTAAATTACCGTTAGAAAGCTTATTTCGAGCTCGTCAATTTAATAACTAGATTTAGCTGGTTGAAGGTCGTTTTCGAGGTCAAAATCCATTGTTTTGACGTGTTTTAAGACTGTTTTAGTTCTCTGCGAGTTTTTTTGTATTTTATTTTGGATTTTCTTGTTTTAATTAATTTAGTTTTTGTTTTCTTTTGTTATTAGAAGACTTATTAGGGTTGGTTGTCACCTTATATAAACTTATTTTTCGTTTCAGATGTTATTCAATAAATTATTCAAATTTTTAGGTTTAAGTTTCCGGATTGAGACTTGTGTTATTAGTTCTAAAGATGTAGTCAAGCGCTAGTCTTGTTTTATCACGCTAACTCGCTAGTCATTTTTTGTCAAAATTAAAAATAAATGAGAATGATTTTGAATTTATCTTCTTATTTATAAGGGTGATTTACTATGTATTATACTTACAATTAAGATATTATTTATATCTACTATCTAAAATGGTGTTCATTTCATACACTTTTTTTTTTTTTTTTTGGTTATTCAGGGCTGTTCGGATTATTTTATATGTATCTCAACTAATCTCTTTGAATTTTAAAACTATCAACCGGTAAAAGTTCTAGTGGCTACCTCTATTAGCACCCGATGAGGGATTTGAACTCAGGATCTCTTATGTAATACACCCAAGAGCATCTATCAAACCACTCGACCACCTAGAGGCAGTTTTATTTCATACAATCATTTGCAGGATTGTTTAATCTTAACAACACTCAAAATTTTCGGAAA